CGTTCATAGATGATTTTTCACTTACGATTTTTTTTGCCTCGGAGCGCCAAGATGTCCTCTTTCCCCCTAAAGGCGAAGTTCACGATGGAAATGCAGCCCCTTAGGAATGAAGGTAGAGGTGGTCAGTGATACAGGAATGAAGAAGAAACCAAGAAAAACGACCTAGAACCCAAGTTAACATGACCTTTGTTTGCCTGGTGATTTCCGCATTGATGGTGTATCCCTCTTGAAGCTCTACTAAACGGCCAGAGTCAGACAGCGTAAAGGTGGGCGGGCAGCGGCGCGGTACGGCCCTGATAGGCCGCTGGGGGCATACTCTTCGCTGCAAAACTCGCATCGTTCCACACCATCAGAAGAGGAAGGGGAGGGGGCGAGATCTGCTCGCTTTTCGACTACGTATATTTCCCCTTCTACGACCTTATAGTGTAATCCGCCTTCAAATGGATATTGAGTGACTATGCTCCTAAACTACTAATTAGGTGAAAGAGAGTAAGAGCTTTGGCAAGCCATCAAAAGTATGCTCCCTGGACCGTATCTCGGAGCAAGTCCCACCAAGGAAAACTGAGCCGCCCCATTTTCCAAGGTGCGTTTAACTGGTATCAGATTTAATAATGTAGAAAATCGTGACTCTAACTTTAGTCGGACCCGAGATATATGGGCTAAGCACGTATTCGAACGACACTACGATTCAATTGAAGTCGAATATGTGCCGCATCTCAAAAAAGAACTGAAAATCGCCGTCAGCGCTATAATTGCGCTTTTACGGTTATCTACTACAAGTTCTGCAAGTATTTTCCGGAAGCACGCCATACGCTAGCATGATTTGACTGATGTGGTTCGAATAAAAAACTGTTGAAACTATGCCGTCAGCCCTTGAAAGAAAAGCAAAAGGAAACCGCTGTAAACAATCATAATATATCCCCTTCGCAGCTAATCCGGCGACGTTTATGACCGAGCTGAGGTCGAATAAAGGGAGTGTCGTGCTTGACGGAGGATGCTGGACTGGCTGATGAGAAAGATAGGATGAGAGAGATGCCATACACGGCGCGGCGTACACTGCAGGGAGAGTCATAGAGGTTGGCGAATTCAGTCAGGCGGGGGGAAGTTTGCGAGCAAGGGAGAACCTTCCGTACACTGCCATGGCACTATGGCCGCTAAATCGATAAGAAAAAAAATCCAGCACTTGTACGGGGGTACGTCTTCATTTCAGAAGTACCAGAACGCGCTGGAGGGAAATTGTTAAATACAGTTGATTTCGATGGTGTTTTGCAAGAAGTCTGCTATGGAAATATCGCGTTCAAGGAGCTTGAGAGAACTGTTTCCAAAAAGAATTTACGAGAAAATGAACAACACGACCTAGAGATGAAAAGAACAGGAATGATAGAAACTCTACTTTTCCATTATTTGAGGAAATTGGAGAGGAGGGGGGTGGTGGACTCCACTGTGCTCGCCAGAGCTGAGAGAGGATGAGAGGCGCCCTATTTGATGCTCGTACGACCCACAGAGTGGACTAGCACGGCTTATTCTTAGCAATTTGACTGCGCTCTAGCCCAATGGTCCCTGCTTGTTTTTCGGAGTTTAGGCTAAGTGAAACACAAAAGTCAGATTGCCAGTTTTTAAGCATGCCAGCCCGCTCTTCAGACGATTCAGTCATCCGATATGTGAGCGGCCTTTGGAATAGTTTTGCATCTTCGTTCACGGGAAATCGACCTTGACTGGCAAGAGGCGTTCGCTCTCAGTTCCACAGTTCGGGTCCGATCTTCGCGAACCTCCAATCCCTCCGGAGTCGCATAATTAGTGCCACAGATCTGTCTGGCAAGATAAAGCGGTTGTCGAACACTGTTTATGCCTCGCTGACACCCATTGCATGGGCCAAACACCCGATCGATAATTCTTAAACATTTCGGAACGGAAATCGGAAGCGGAAAGACGCGTTCGACGATTTCTGATTCTGTATGAAGCATTCAGGACTTTCACTTAAATTACTACCAAAGGCCGGTAGCTTACTGTCGTTGAATCGATGATTTGTAGCCTTCTTAACTTGCAGGAGTACATTAGAGAATCCGGCGCTCACCTAGTTACTGAGAGGGAAGAGAAGGGGGGGGGGGGGTTGGGATGGTGGGGGTAGCATTTTGGTTCAGAGAATCAAATTCCGCAACAAACTTCTTTATATTGAAACGTTCACAAGAAGAAAAATCTACCGTTTTCTCCCCTGGCAAGGAAGTTGGTTCATTCACACCGGACCTCCTCCCTCAATCCCTCCAAAATTGAAACTACCGTAATACGCACGAGCATTATTGCACGGCGTTAGGGGCTACTTGACACCAAAGAGCGAGGAGTGCAGGGGCTAAAAAACCATACGTTTGGGAAGTTTTTTTGTACTTGTAGATTAGATTAGAGGAAAGAAAGCAGAGTGCTGTATTATTTGTGCGCTGTGGAGCATCCAGACAGCACACAAAACGCTGAATTGTTTAGCCTAATGGTTGGCAGGCATCCTAAGACCATATCGCACCAATCCAACCCCCCCCCCCGATAATCTTAAAATTTTGGAAGAGGTAACAAAATCATGGTAAGGACAAACATGAGTAGTGGTAGGAATTTGGTACAATGAACACCTATTATTCATTCGTAGAGGGCTTCGATACAATTCAGAATAATAGATGATCCAATCATTGATCCAGCTTTGGTAACGAGGGAGCCAACGCTGGTGGTTCCTCTGGAGCCAAATTCAAAACATCTCTTCAACAAGGTCACACAAAAAACTTCACAACACTTGTAAAAGAATCGATGTCAATAGTCGACAACGTGAGGGTAAGCTGGAAAGAAGTTGACCTTGAGGATCGTAAATAGTTTTACTTACGTTATACAGCTAGAAGATTACGACTTTCCTGCGTTGGTTTCAAGTACATAGGGGGTTTTGTAGAGAAGACGGTGGGTAGCGTGTTACTGAGCATCGTACAGTTGCCTCACAAAAACAAGAGGTCCATTCTTTTTGAAGATATTTCGAAGCAGGGTCGGTCCTATCGTTGCTACTTTTCAAAAAGTTTTTACGACCCCCCCCTCCCTCATGAAATGTTTCATACGACCCCCTCTTTCAAAACAATTTTTACCCCAAAAAATTACCGTCGAGCGGGGGGGGGTATATACGCGCGCTGAAACGGCAAATTTTCTCCCGCGCCGCTCCCCACTCATCACATGCAACTTCTTACAACCGAAGCAAGTACGACCCCCCCCCTCTACAAACTCATCAAAATACGACCCCCCGTTGCTACTTGTAGCAACATAGGGTTGACCCTGCTCGAAACCCTTGTCATAACTATAGAGCAATGAAACTAGCAAGGCCACCACTTTACTGCACCCCATCGTCTGCAGAATGTAAGCGATTTCACCTCTCCGATAGGAGTCCCGCGGCCTCCCTCCGTGCCACCGACTGCCAGTTGCTTCAGGGAGGCCTACAGTATTCTGCGTCTGCAATTTCCCCACACTCACACTCTTACCCTGGGAGCAGCTCTCTCAAAGGTGTCGCTCAGGTTGTGCAAGAACCCTGCCAACCTGAGCTCAGGACAAGAGAGGCAGAGGAGAGTGAGAAGAGGTATTGCTCAAGCCAACTGTTGTGCAAGTGGAACCACGCGCGGCGAGCCTCAGATCTGCGCGCCGTATGGTTCACGATCTGTCCCTCATGATTCGATGCTGCCAGCTGCCCCGTTATTGCACATACCGTACTCCAAACGGGGAATGCACCCCAGATATCTCATGAGCATCATGTTCTTAGGTCGGAACATTTCCACGTTGTGCCATATCTACAGTACGCCAAAAAAGTTCTTCCGCCTACTTTAAACAGTAAATTGTTTACATCTTTTTTTACACCTGGCCCAATCTTAACCAAATGTTCGAAATTCGGCGATGTCTAACATATGATGATGGGACTCCATATAGCTTTTGACACAAGCGACATCAGAACATTCTGCCAGGTGAACATATGGGATGGTCGAGCTAGCGAGATCATCGATTTCTCGGCCTTCATTCATAATCCTCTTGAGCTCTGCTCATTGTCGGTAATCGGAGGGGTTGACACTTGAGGACGCAGACGTTCCAGGGTTTCCCACGTTCTCCGGCTTTGGGTGAATGAACGCTATCCGGAACATGCACCAGTGCCCATTTCTACTAAAACACGGGTGCCACGTCATTGGCGCGTGATCGTTTGTTTCAGCCTGAATTCCAAAAACCTGGATCGTTCTTCCCTTTTTAACAAGAAGCTCCATACTACTCCAGTGTTCCGCATAGGCTGCTCAATATTCGAGGCAGAAGTGCTCTGGAAACGTTGCTCTAGTAGCGACGTTGTCTGAGTCGCAAACCAGCGGAGGTCTCACACAGTCAGAGCCACGGTTACTGGGAAGTTATCCATCAGTGACTCGATCGAGGTGAATCACGCAGCTACTTCAGCCCGAAGACACCACGATAGGCATCATTGAACTCGTCGGCGATGGCGGGTTCAGAAAATATCCTGGCAAAGGAGAAGGACTTGCCTCTCTTTACCGAGTAAAGGGGAGGTTTTACCGTGCACTTCCATAAAACTCATCTCCCTGTTAGACCCAAATTTTGTATCGCCCGTCAAGGCAAAGTGACCCTGATTTGGGATCCCTGTCTATCCAGTTATGACGAGGTCATCCAAGATTATGTTTACGTGAGAATGAATACAGAAGGGACTGGAAGGAATCGGCAAATTTACTTACGCAAATTTTGGGTAAATTTTCGTTGAAAAAGCTCAGTTCGGAATTTCTCAGAAATTCGGATTATGGTTTTTCAACTCTCACACTTTTTGAGCAAGTTACAGTCATGTGATACCAGTCGCTCTCCAAAATCCATACTAGGGGGGGGGGGCAAATTGGGTCAGTATCAAATAGGCGTTGAGTTTACTGAGTTCAAGGAAATCTTTCATCATATCCACAAATACTTTCAAAGGAAATATGAAATGAATAATTGTACAGGTAGGGCTTACTTTTGCAAGCTCTTTTATTCGTTATGGGCTTGGTAGCATCTCGGAAATATCCTGCTTTGCACAGATGGCAATTACGACCAATCGTATTGTGGCGACAGTTCACGCATACTCCTCCGCTTCTGAAATACCGTAGGAATTCTACTGACAATTTCGACAAATGTATGTACACTTACCTATTCTCGCTGAGTCGGTAAAGTTCCTGGTCAAAACGACACCTCTTTGCGTGCATATTGCAGTTACATGCTGAAATAAACATAACAACAAATATTATAATAGGGTTAGGGATAGCCGAGTGGTTAAGAATGTATTTTCATGTCTGCACTTGCCCTGGGTTAGGCCCTTGCCGAAGCCTGACCATGCCTACAGAAAACGGAAATTGGCTCCAGTCAGGCCCAGGCTCCCGTCACACAAAATAAGTCTACCTCCCAGTAGGTATCAGTGATAAAGGTAGGATGTCACCCGGAAGCAGGGTCAACCGTCCGTTCGAACTGTTTGAACGGGGGGGGGTCGCATTTGTGTTCTGGGAGGGGAGAGGGGTCGCATCGCGCATTGCTCGCAGTTTGATCAGGGGCGCAGGGCATAGGTGCGTGCGCAAAAAAAGTTGCCGTTTCACTGGTTGTATATACCCCCCCCCATCCTCCCTCGACGGCGATTTTTTGATAGCAAAAGTGGGGTGGTGTTTTGAGTCTTCTAAGTTGGCGTTGGGCCACACGCGTGTTGTCAACGTGGTCTCATAACTCAAATACTTAGGGAGAGGACCGCGGTGGGGAGAGGCTGCATTGTGATGGGTGTCGCAACTGGGACCCCTCGAGAGGGGGGGCTGGTCGCCAGAAAGCCCGAAAAGGTGTTCGAAACTGTGACGCTTGGACCCTGCCCGGAAGTGGTGCACAGAGCCCCCGCCCGAGCTCTGTGGTAAGTATGCAGGGAACCTAAACCTTAGGCTGAATAGCGCGTGAACTTCCCAAAAGCTGCTAATTGATCCAACGACAGTCCGTTAGAGCGTTATTGGAATGATTCCCTATGTGTTGCAAAATATCATGCCTTACCCCCCCCCCCTCAACACACTGTTAGACTGATCACTTGCTGTTTTTCAGTTTACGTCGTTGTTTGTGTTGTTTTTTGTGTTTGTATTCTTTTGTGTTCTGTACTATTTTGGTTTGTTTTGGATTTTTCCTGCGATTGGGGGGGTGTGTTTTAGTGTGCCTTTAGTTGAGTCCGCGTTTGTTAATATGCGATGGTAAAATGGTGATACGAGAGTAAATCGATCTTCAGATATTATCGTTGTTTACGTCGTCTCATGCCTGTGTTTGTAATGAATGTTAAGCGGTGTCATTTGCTGCATCACGCTTTCCAAGCATTAATAAACTGTAAAATCTCTTTATTATTAAGATCGACCCATGACTTTCTAATTTCCTTGCGGAAAATGGTTAATTGTATTTATATTATAGCTTATATTAATGAATTTGTCATTAATTCGCAATCTCGTCTCCTGTCTCGTAGCAACTATTTTCTCTGGTTGTTCCGGCTCGGATTCTGTTGGGTGGTAATAATATAGGATTGAGAACAATGCACGTCACCTGCCCCCCGTCTAATATTGCGAGCCGTACAGCCTTTGCACCCTCATTTCTCATCTCGGTTAATCATATTCATTTCATTTGCATATCCATGCGCAAAGAACGGAAAACTGTGGACCCATCATCAATTTCTAAACCAGCCTAATATCGTTTGGAGATGCCATAAATCGTGTAGTGTACGAACTAATTATGTGATCAGGAAAAAATGGATTCTTGTTCAATATAGATATAACAATATATTTCCACCCCCCCCCCCCAATTTCCTTCAGAGAATGAATAAATTCTGATTCATATGTATCAAAAGAAAAAGAGAATGTCTTAGTGGGATAATGTGTAGAACCTTGCGTGAATCGATTTAATTATCTTTCGGGCACATAATGGTGTCATAAAGGCAGTGTCGCAAGCGTGGACCATTGCCGCGCAGTACTAATCCAATCTTGTTTATTACTTGAACGCTGTCCTGCCGGATAAAAGAACGAGGTCAAAAAAAGCGGTGCCTGCTTTGAACAAAAGATACTCAAAAGGATCGACAGAAGGCCATACGGCCAGCACTAGGGCCTGACCTCCGCCCCAGTAGAGGAACCATGGCGGAAGCGCATGGATTTTTTGGGATCAATAGCCGATTATTTGTTGTTTTCCAAAACAATGCTCCACAATATGCCCTTAAATCGAAAAAAAAATCAGCGCTGCTATTCTGCCAAATTTTCAGAAGACGGAAAAAACTGCTCGATGCGAAACCCTGTGAAAAGGCTTGAAAAACACCCGTGAAATTCCTGACTATTTTTTCAGAACTGTTTGCTAAAGAAGGTAGCTGGTCGCTGTCCATACCTACGCATGCATTTGCCGATTGAGATGTGGCTCGTCCCCATGGCCGATCGAAATGAAAAGGTTTACACGTTTCACATTCAGTGCCAGCCGTATTATGCTTGCAATCACAGGTGAACTGAAAATGAAATTTGATGTGTGAAATAATCAAAATTAAATTGGTCCCGTGTCAAATTCAATTTAAATCACCTACTTTGCCCATCTTGTCGAATATGCAACGACTGGCGTGACCATTACACTTACATCTACCGCCAACAGCCAGCTCTCCCACTGCATAGAAGAAACCTTCGCTGGCGTTACCGCCGGCAGTATTGTTCGACAAATCGTTAACATCATTGGATACGCCAAATAAATCCGTCTGAACGTGCCATGGTCATACAAATTCTCTACGCATTGTTGACGGTAGGACGGGGCGGAAGGGAAAGAACTGACCTGGCTCGATTCCATGCGAGTGAATAGAACACGGATATCTGTTGCTGTTACCCAGTCTTGTAGCACAGGGGATGATTCGAAAAATACCGCAGATGGACGATTCTCCAGAAACGGAAACGCGATTCGATTCGCTCTTGGAGCCAAATTGTGTGAGTTGCTGCACAACGCTTCCTGTAAATTATAGCTGAGAGAAAATTCAAAAATTTCGCCCAAGTATTTATTTAATGGGTAACTATAGAAGGAGGTATGGCCCACAACCAACCTAACCTTAATAGCCTAA